GAAGGTTCCCACATTCTAAACAGCAGTGAGAAGCAGAGCCGCATCCCATTGTGTAAAAGCTGGAGTATGTCAGACACTTGCCCTGTGGAGAGTTCTCTCACTCTGGCAGCTTACCTTTGCTCTTCCCTTGCCCTGATCTCCTTCCTTAGACTCCCCACCTAGACCATGAGCAACGGAATACAACGTCCTTTCTTTAGCTTTCTGCCTCTGTCAGCTAGAATTCGTGTCTGTTGGCTGTGGCTGAAGACCCTTAAGTGAAACAGGAAGATACATGAAATGAATGAGGAAGGCCTGGCCAAAAAGTAGAGAGAAAAGATTTTTCCTTCCAACACTTCTCCTATCCAATGTCTAAGGTTTAGCGTTTTAAAATCATCAAACCCATTAAAAATACAGATAGAGTGCAAATTATCCCACTTCTTTAACAAACTTTGTTCATATTCCAAAGTAGATATCAGGCCTGGTAAGAGTCTAGTGCTACAATTATATAGCTAACTGTTTGTCTTCTTTAAATTTAAAATGTGGAACAATGCATTACAATGGTACATAATGTGTATCACAGATCACTAGTTCTTCTGGGGATATTTTTGCATAAACACTATTCTGACCATGTGACCTTTTTTCTGATAGATGCTAGCTACACTATACAGTATTCTACAAAGGAAAAAAACAGAATACTAGATATGCAAAATAAATGTTTTGTTAATAAAAATTTCAGAGACTATTTTAGGAAACACGTCCTCTGGGAGCCACAAATCTAACTTATTCCCTTGTGGGGAAAATAAGAGTCCCAGAAAGGGAAAGAAATGGCTCAATGAAGCCCACTGTGTGAGCAGTAAAACTGAAGTCTTATTAAGCAGTAGCTAAGAGTGTGAAATTTCTCAGCAACTGAAAACTTTTCTTGAACTAAAGTGATTTCGAAAGGAACATCGGAGTCCCCCAAACGTTTGTATTGGCTCTTTCACATTGTTTGACCATATATGGTCATTTAAAAATATATCTGACTTCTGCCGGAAGAATCAAATGAAAGAGAACAGTGCTTGGGGTCTTCTCAGCTCCTGCAGCTTGGAACAGTTGATGGGACTTGGGGTATGTGTTGTGTTTCTCCAGGAGATCCAAATGG